CGGCTTTTTTTTTCTGCTTATGTGGTGCTGAGGAATCGAACCCAGGGCCTCATGCATGCAAGGCAAGCACTCTACCACTGAGCCACCTTCCCAGCCCTGTACTTGAGCTTTTTTCAGGCTACCACTCTCTATCACTTGAGCCGTAGCTCCACATCTGGCTTTTTGGTGGGTAATTGAGATAAGAGTCTCCTGCCAGGGCTGGCTTCTAACCAAGATCCTCAGATCTCAGCCTCCTGAGTAGTTAGGACAGTCAATGTGAGAACTTGGCATCTGGCAGTTTGTTAACATTTAAGTTGATTTGAACTTGCATGGCTATGTTCCTCAGCCACATTTCTCAGTCAGGTACTTACTATAAGCTTACCAGTGCCTCCTGTCTGTCTTGGCAGAGCAGGCCCAGAGTCAGCCATGAGCTGGTGTTCCTGGGGGCGTAGGTCCTAGAGGTGCTTCCGCTGTTCCTGCCCTTCAGGGAGGCCTTCCAGAGCTCTCACTGCCCTTAGAAGAAAGGTCGTCCCTGCTCTGTAGCCTGACCTGCTGGGTCTTCATTTCTTCAGCTATCAAATGGAATCCAAGAGCAATTACCTCTAGGATAGTTCAGCTGGGTGCTGCTGTCTCATACCTATAATCCTAGATACTCAGGAGGCTGAGATCTCAGGATCGCAGTTCAAAGCCAGTCCTGGAAGAAAACCTCAGTGAGACTTTTATCTCCAATAAACCACCAGAAAACCAGAAGTGGCACTGTGGTTCAAGTGATAGAGCACTTACCTTGAGCTGAAGAGCTGAGGGACAGCACTCAGGCCCAGAGTTCAAGCCTCACTACCCACTCGGAGACTTCACATACAGGAGGAGGAGGTTTATTGGAGAGGGCATCTCTCCCCACGGGAAAGTGGGCAGTATGGCCTGCCCCTATCCAGGTAGAAGCTTGTCACTCCAGAGCTAGAGAGGGTGGTACTCTGCCTGGGTTGGTAGATCTGGGCAGAGATAGCAGTGCCCACCTATGCTGGTGGGAGCTCTGTGGTAGAGAGGAGCTCAGGTCTTCAGGGAGCTTGGGGCTACCAGCTACCCTGGGAAATGTAGTGGGCCAGGCTGAGGGCATGACATGGAAGGAATCCTAACAGATTTTTTTTTGCCAATCCTGGGGCTTGAACTCTGGGCCTTGGCATTGTCCCTGAGCTACTTTTGCTCAAGGCTAGCACTCTACCACTTAAACCATGGTGTCACTTTCTGCTTTTTTTTTTTGATCAGTTATGGGGCCTGAACTCTGGGCCTGGGCGCTGTCCCTCAGCTCTTCAGCTCAAGGCAAGCGCTCTACCACTTGAGCCACAGCATCACTTCTGGCTTTTTCTGCTTAAGTCGTGCTTAGGAATTGAATCCAGGGCCTCATGCATGCAAGGCAAGCAAGCACTCTACCACTGAGCCCCACTTCCCAGTCCCACTTCCTGCTTTTTCTGAGTAGTTTATTAGAGATAAGAGTATAATGGGGACTTTTCTGCCTGGGCTGGCTTTGAACTGTGATCCTCACATCAGATCTCAGCTCCTGAGTAGCTTGCAGGTGTGAGCCACCAGCACCCAGCTGTATGAGTGCATATAAGGAAAATGTCACTGCAGGCAGGAAAATCCATGCAGTTGTCCAGCACTGCTGAGCGAGGGGAAGGGAAATTGCTAATGAGTACCAGCGTGATAAAAGCGTTCCAGAGTTGCATGACTGCGGGGACTGTGCAGTCTTGTATCTCAAAATGACAGTGAATGGATTATGAACTATACCTCCCAGAAATAAGCCCCAAAAAGAAGATAATGCATAGGTAGCACAGATCTATGGAGAGCAAAGAAGGTGGTAGTGTTGGTGGTAATGATGGTGGTGCTGTTGGTGATGATGACTATGATGAGGGTAATAGTGATGTGTGTGATGTGTGTGATGATGGAGATAGTGGTGGTGGTGGTGGTGATGGTGACCTCAAGGCCCTGCCTCCCCCTCTCCTCAGGCCTGGTCCGGGAGCAGGAGGCAGGGCTGCTCCAGTTCCTCCGCCTGGATGGCTTCTCTGTGCTGATGCGTGCTATGCAGCAGCAGGTGCAAAAGCTCAAGGTCAAGTCAGCTTTCCTGCTGCAGAACCTGCTGGTGGGCCACCCCGAGCACAAAGGTGGGCATCCCTGGCTGGGGTGGGCAGCCTGGGCTGGCGTGGGCACAGCCTAGGGGACACGGCGTGCCGTGGGGCCTCTGATTGCTATCCTCCCACAGGGACGCTGTGCGCCATGGGCATGGTCCAGCAGCTGGTAGCCCTGGTGAGGACGGAGCACAGCCCCTTCCATGAGCACGTGCTCGGAGCCCTGTGCAGGTACACTGGCCGGAGCAGCCTGGGGGCCTGGAGCAGGGGACTAGAGCCTTCTCTGTGAGGGATGGAGAGCAAGGGGCCAGAGGGGAGCAGGCACTGCCCAGCCTTGTTTACCCCATGTGCACAGCTTACGCTGCACACTGGGGAGGGAAGTCTTCATTACCCCTTCCAAGCCATAGGTTGGTGTTTAGTGGTCACAGAAAGCAGCTGAGTGTTGGCTATGTCAGCCCTGCCAGGCACCTGTTTTATACAGGTCACATCCTTTCCCCTGTCACTGTGCAGGTGGGGGGTGGGCCACGGTGGGGGCTGGATGGTGGGAGTGGGCTGTGGAGGCCCTCTCTGTCCTAAGGGCCGCTCCCATGTTCCCCTGCAGCCTGGTGACAGACTTCCCCCAGGGTGTGCGTGAATGCCGGGAGCCGGAGCTGGGCCTGGAGGAGCTGCTGCGCCACCGCTGCCAGCTACTGCAGCAGCATGAGGAGTACCAGGTGGGGCGGGCAAGGTGCCCTGCCCAAGGCTCTCTCCCCTCACCATTTGGGCACACGCACTGCTGCTCTGGGCTGTGCAGAGGGAGGGTGGGTGGGGATTCAGTTAAACACTGAGTACCAGTGCTCACGCCTGTAATCCCAGCTGCTTGGGAGGCTGAGAACTGAGTTTTGACACCGGGCCCTCTGGGAAACATTCTTCCTCCTGGCACCTGTCAGGTGACAGGCCCCCGTGGGCATGGGGGTGTAGCCTGCATTTCCCAGGAGCTCGTGGGGAGGCAGAGGTAGCACAGGCCCGTGTAGTGTGTATCTGTGCATGTATGACGTGTCCTATGTGTGGGTCCGTACGTGTCTGAGTGGCAGAGGTATGGTCGGCCTCTGTACTCAGGCCTCCTCTCTCACCCTCCTCCAGGAGGAGCTGGAGTTCTGCGAAAAGCTGCTACAGACCTGTTTTTCTAGCCCCACGGACGACAGCATGGATCGGTGAAACCAAGTGGCTTCTTGTGCTCTCTCCCTGTGGGAACCCCAGGCCTCCTGCCCCCTCCTTCCCACGGCGCCCTCTCCCAAGGGATTGGGGGCCTGGCCAGTGCCTGGGCGTGCCAGTCCACCTCTGGGCAGCCCCCTGGAGGGGTGCTGAGAATGGTGCTGGCTCTTTGGACCCCACCCTGCACACTCCCCCTCCCCATCTCTGCACTGCTCTTCCAATAAAGGCATTTCTCCTCCTCCTGCCACCTTGTCACCTCCTCTCCAGGGTCCCTGGGGGAGGGCTGGTGAGGGTAGGGACCTGGGGAACTGATGAAAAAAATAAAAGCATTGCTCATGCTATGGCCTTCCATCCTCCAGCCTCTGTCGGGCGAGGGTGCAGGGAACATTGGTCCTATTTTTTTGGTTGGTCCTTGGGCCTGAACTCTGGGCCTGGGCACTGTTCCTCAGGTCTTCTGCTCAAGGCAACAGCTCTACCACTTGAACCACAGCACTACTTCTAGTTTTCTGGTGGTTAATTGGAGAGATAAGAGTCTCATGGACTTTCCTGTCCAGGCTGGCTCTGAACTGTGATTGTCAGATCTCAGCCTCCTGGATTACAGGTATGAGCCAGCGGTGCCCAGCTTATTTTTATTTGGACTTCCCAGCATCCCTGAATTCTCCTGTTTGATTAGAAGCCATTTTCTTTCCCAGCATCCCTTGCAGTAGGGTAGTCATGTGACTTCCGCTGCAGAACATAGGGAGGGTGTGAGCTGTGAGCACAGGCCATAGAAGAGGTCCTGTCCTGGGTTGTGTTGGACAGACAGGGCAGGGAACAGGTGCACCTGGCGTCTAGAGGGGACGGGCAGAAGTTCTTAGTGTTGGGATGGAGATCACTATGTCTAGGCCAGGCTTGTGGCTAGAACTCCAGCCTCACAGACCTTTGAGGGGAATGCCCTCTTTCCTGTAACGAATTAGTGTTGGGTGGTTAAGAGATTTGTCATTTGCAACTAAGAGTTTTCTTGACTGGTGATGTTTTTAAATGCTATTTTTATTAGCATATATGAGTTGTACAAGGCGAGTTTTGTGTCATTTCCATACATACGAAAATACCTGGATCAAAGTCACTGTGTTCCAACCTTCTTAAAAAGTTTCAAACAAGCCGGGCACTGGTGGCTCACGCCTGTAATCCTAGCTACTCAGGAGGCTGAGATCTGAGGATCGCGGTTCAAAGCCAGCCCGGGCAGGAGAGACCGTGAGACTCCTATCTCCAATAAACCACCAGAAAACCGGAAGTGGCGCTGTAGCTCAAGTGGTAGAGTGCTCGCCTTGAGCTGAAGAGCTGAGGGACAGCGCCCAGGCCCAGAGTTCAAGCCCCACGACCGACAAAAAAAAAAAAAAAGTTTCAAACAAGTTTCACTGTTGCATTTCATACATGTACATTATTTCAAACACATTCACCCTTAATCTTTTTTTTTTGTTGGGTCATGGGGCTTGAACTCAGGGCCCAGAAGCTGTTCCTGGGCTCTTTCGTGAAAGACTAGTGCTCTACCACTTTGAGCCGCAGCTCCACTTCCAGTTTTCTGGTGGTTAATTAGAGGATACTTTCATGAGCTGGGTGCGGGTGGCTCATGCCTGTCATCCTAGCTACTCAGGAGGCTGAGATCTGAGGATCACGGTTCAAAGCCAGTCTGGACAGGAAAGTCTGTGAGACTCATCTCCAATGAACCACCAGAAAACTGGAAGTGGTGCTGTGGCTCAAGGGGGAAAGGGCTTGCCTTGAGCTGAAGAGCTGAGGGACAGCGCCCAGGCCCAGAGTTCAAGCCTCAAGACTGACCCAATCTCCCCCCCCCCAAAACCTGGGCGTACTGCTATGGTTCAAGTGGTAGGGTACTATCTTTGAGCACAAAGAGCTCAGGGTAGCACCCAGGCCCAGAATTCCTGGGCAAAATGACTTTTCTGCCCAGCCTGGCTTTGAACCGCAATCCTCAGATGTCAGCCTCTTGAGAAGCTAGGCTTACCATGGTAAGGCTTCCCCCTCTCTTGTATCACCCACTGCTGCTGGTATCTACTCCACAACAGAGCCTGTTTTACTTGGCTGTGATTCCTTTACTTTCCATATATATTAATACAATGGATTTGTACTGTTCTAATTCTAGATGAGCATATATTATGACTGATATTGTTTTTTTTTTTTTTTGCAGTACTAGGGTTTGAATGCAGAGCCACCTGTGTGCTTATCTTATTCGACCAGCACTCTACTACCTGAGCCACACCTCCAGCCCCACTTTTTGCTGGTTGCTTTGGACTTTCCTGCCAGGTTGGTTTTGAGCTGTGAACCTCCAGATCTCAACCTCTTCAGGAACTAGAATGATAAGAGTCATGGCCACCTGGAGCGATGCTATTTTTCAAGAGAGAATGGTGTGCTCAGAATGGCTAATTCCTGGCCAATTGTGTAGCTAGAACTCAGACCTAGACCAGTTTTAAAGCCAGCTCCATTTGATAACTGGGCTCACAGCCTGACATGTGGGATACACTTGAGCACTTGGAAATTCTGAATCAGTTTGCTGTTTATTTGGGATAAATTGAGAGTCCACCTGAAGATCAGATGTCTTTTTTGTTGTTGTTGTTGGTCGTGGGGACTGAACTCTGGGCCTGGGTGCTATCCCTCCTCATCTCTTCAGCTCAAGGTTAGTGCTCTACCACTTGAGCCACCTCTGGCCTTTTCTGCTTATGTGGTGCTGAGTAATCGAAACCAGGGCCTCATGCATGCAAGGCAAGCGCTCTACCAGTGAGCCACCTTCCCAGACCTTACCTTTTTTTTTTTTTGGTCAGTCTTGGGGCTTGAACTCAGGGCCTGGGAACTGTCCCTGAGCTCCTTTTTGTTCAAGGCTGGCACGCTACTACTTCAGCCATAGCGCCACTTCCAGCTTTTTCTGTTTATGTGGTACTAAGGAATGGAACCCAGGGCTTCAGTCATTCTAGGCAAGCACTCTACCACTAAGCCACATCCCCAGCCCCGAGAATTTTTTTTTAATCTTTTTTAATTTTTGCTAGTCCTGGGGCTTAGGCTCTGTCCTTGAGCCTTCTGTGCTCAAGGCTAGTGCTCTATCACTTGAGCCACAGCACCACTCCCAGCTTTTTCTGTTTATGTGGTACTGAGGAATGGAACCCAGGGTGGCTTCATGCATACAAGGCAAGCACTCTACCACTGGGCCATATTCCCAGCCTCGGGAGTTTTTTTTTTTTTTTCCGGTCGTGGCGCTTGAACTCTGGGCCTGAGCGCTGTCCCTCAGCTCTTCAGCTCAAGTCTACCACTCTACCACTTGAGCCACAGCGTCACTTCTGGCTTTTTCTGATTATGTGGTGCTGAGGAATTGAACCCAGGGCCTCATACATGCAAGGCAAGCAATCTACCACTAAGCCACCTTCCCCCCCTGAGAATTTTTTTTTTTAAGACTCCATCTCGGGGCTGGGAAGGTGGCTCAGTGGTAGAGCGCTTGCCTTGCATGCCTAAGGCCCTAGGTTCGATTCCTCAGCACCACATAAGCAGAAAGAAAAAAGCCAGAAGTGGCACTGTGGCTCAGGTGGTAAAGTGCTAGCCTTGAGCTGAAGAGCTGAGGGACAGCGCCCAGGCCCAGAGTTCAGGCCCCACAACCGGACCAAAAAAAAAAAAAAAAAAAAGATTCCATCTCAACAGAAAGAAGCTGGGTGTGGTGGCTCATACCTGTTATCTCAGCAGCAACAGGAAACCTAACCTAAAATAGATGAATTTTAATCCAGGTGTGTACCTGGACAGGAGGCAAGATGCTGTGTCCAAAAAAGAAAAGAGTTCAGAAAAGAGCTTGTTTGGCTCAGCTAAACAGTGCTGCCTAGCAAGTATGAGTACAATGATTCAAAGCCAAGTGTGGCTACTTCCTTCCCCCAGTTCCAGTTCTAATACCTCTAACACCTATGCAGTTTCTAACAGGGTGGACACAGATTTCAGCCTTTGAGGCCTCTTGTAGCAAGCCGGACTTTAGGACCATCTTTAGTGCTTTTCAAGAAGGGTCACCCTTCTGCCCCTCAGGTCTCATGTGTGTGACACAACTGTGACATCATATGGTGGGGAAAACAAAAGCCAAAGGCTGGGTGAAGACCAAAGATCCCACACCCCTGGAGCAGGCTGAGGAAGGAAGTGCCTCCCTGCCATGGTTAATTTTAGGTTTAAAGTGACTGAGCTAAAGAGAGGCACAGAGCACTCAGATGTTATTTCTGGATGTGTCTGTGAGGGTGTTTCTGGAGAAGATAAGCTTTGAGCACTAACTCAGGGAAGTGCGTAATGTAACCCACCAGGAGCCTAAATTGAACATGAAGGTGTAGAAAGGGCACAATTCCTCTTTCTGCATGAGTTTCTCGGTCACCTTCCCTGGGCCATGGGCACTCCTGGCTTTGGCCTCAAGAGGACTTGCACTGAAGCACTGGCCCGATATTTTGGACTTTGGGCTTATATGCAGGGCATATGGGCAACAAAGATGGAGCTGAGAGAGATTAGAGTGGGCTGAACCCAATTTGCCTTAAGTTCAGTGTGTAACCAGCCCTTGGAAGCTTAGGTGCATGTTAGGGTGTGACCTTGACAGTGATTGGTTCCTCTTCCTCCCCTGCCATGCTACCAGCTCCTTTTTGGCTTTAAAAAGGGCTGCTCTCTGTTAATAAACGAGTTTTCTTCCTGCTTGATTTGGCTCCCCGCTGTGTGTGATTGTCTCCCGGGCTGAGGGAGGCTGGGAAGGGGGGGGGGAGCGCTGCACTTACCTTTCCTTGGACCCCTGTCAGTCTTTAGTAGGAAGGACGAAGACCCAACAGGCTTAGACTTAATGGCACCCCTATGTTGCTGGGCTTTCTGAGACTGACAAACAGTGATCATGTAGGTCACACCCTCATAATCAGTCACTTTCTACACATCTGTAAATATTCTACTGGCTTTCAGTTGTATCCAGCTGTGTAACAGGAGAAAGCTAGGCCTACTTTATAATGAGAATTCCAAGATGGGAAGCGGGCCGGTCAAAGCTGAGGGAGCAGAGTCAGGTAGACGGTAGCCAGTGAGCCTCCCCACTCTCCTACCCCACCATCGGGGGAAGAACCAAGCACTCCTCCCTCGGCTAGGCACTGACCATGTGGCTTACATTGACCAATGGCTAGTGGCAGGTGCAAGGCACCCAAGACACTAGACTAGCCCCGATGACTCGGTCTCCCAGACTGCCCTTCTTTACGAAGGGGAAAACTGTT